TCCACGGAGCCCAGCGAGGCGTGGGCGGCTCCCACCTTGGTTGTGTGTTTGCCTCTTTGTTGAGTGAGAGGAGCCTGGACCTTCCAAAAGGGGCGGAGGAGGTGCTGGGAGCGGACACGCCACCTGGCTGAGGAGGGAAGCCCACGGGAGGGGACACACTGAGGGTACGGGGTGGTCACCATGGTCAGAGGACAGCATTGGCCACGCTGCCCGGGTGAGGAGGGCACCCAGGGAAGCAGCCGACACTTGCCCGAGTCCACGGCCATCTGGGGGCTGAGGGACTGCACGTTAGGCCGAGGGAGGAGGAGATAGAGACCCCCCCAAGTTCTCACGGGCTGGATCCGATCGCAGCCCCCCATGTCCACTCTCCGACTGGAAGATCCCATGGCCAGATCCAGACCCCAAACCCAGAGGGCTGGGGGGGGTCATTGTCCCTCGGCTCGGTGGGTGGGGTCTCCCTGCAAGCAGCACAAATTCCTGTTGTGCACTTCATTCCGCGGAGGAGCCCCCAGACCCCCACCATCTGTTTGTGTTTCCGTTGACGCTATCATCTGAGAAGGGCCAAGACCAGTCCTTGCGACAGGCCTTCCAAACATAAATAAGCAGCCTGTTTCAGTAAAACAAATTACGCACTTTTTGACATTTGCCAGTGTTTTGATTCCAGAAAGGCTGTGGGCAGTTCCCACAGTCCCGGCCCCCCACCCGTGGCCCCGGCCCCACCTCCCGCCCCCGCTCCCATTCACGCATCTCCCCACAGCCCCCCGGGACCCGAGAGCCCCCCCCCCCCCACAGCAGATGTTTGCCAGACTCTGATGTTGGAAAAGCCACCCTCAGCAGAAAACTCACCCTTGAGGGCACAGACCGGGACCTGGAGAGCATTTTTAAAGGACTCTCTGAGTCACCTGCCTTGGGGCAGCCCAAGTTTTGTCTTCCTGAACCAGGGTGGCTCAGGCCACTTACGGTGCCCTGTGTTTCGGGAGCCCACTAAGGACCCTGCTGGCTGCGTGGGAGCTGACCTTTTACTCTAAGTCTAGCTTTCTCCCCATCAGCCCGAGGGGGGGAGAGGCCCTTACATCCCATGCGCAGGTCAGACCAGGGACCCCAGCACCAGGGTCTAGCATCCCCACGAGGGGCCCCATCCCAGGCCTTCCCCACCCCACACGACCTAGGCGCCAGGGATGGGGCCGCAGGAATGCACCAGGGGGGCAGGACCAGAGTCAGGTACCCTGTGCACCCCTAGCAGAAAGGCTGTGGCTCTGCCTCAGGGGCAGGTGGCCCGCAAGGTCGGAGGGGCCTCGTAGGCCTCTCACCGTGGACCCCTGGGACACTGTGGACCAGCCCTTCTGCAGGTCCTGGCCAGCCATCACCCAAGACGGGGTCTGCACTGTGGGCAGGCCACATGGGGAGGCTGGACCCATGCACCGACCACAGGAACCAGCATGTCTTCACGTCCTGGTCACTCGGTGGCTGTCCCTTGAGGGCAGTCCAGGCAGGCAGCCCCAGGTGGCTCAAGGCCTAACCAGAGGTCCCCTGCTTCTCAGCCCCCCTGTGCATTTCCAGGGATAAAGCAGGACTTGGTGGCCAGGGACTTGTGACCAGCAAGGAGGCGGAGCTCTGCACTAGGTCCAGAAGCCTGCTGCACGCGGAGCCTGGTAACTCACTTCACACACTGAAGAGCAGGGCACCCAGAGAGCGAGAGCTGCATGAACTGGGGTGCTGTGCTCCCCAGGAGAACCACTCCTCAGCGGGGTCCCGGGCATGTCCACACCTGCACCCACTTCCACCAACTGTCTCCCCAGCCCGTGTCTGCTGCCAACGTCTCCAGGTGAAGGGGCACCGGTGACCTCCCGCAGCCCTCGAGCTCCATTGCCCTCCCTGCCCCGCCCCAGGTTCTTTCTGCTGACCCGAGGTGGGGCCAGGGGGCCCTACAGCTGCCCCTTCCCCCACTTCTTCCCTGGCTCTGGCAGGGCCTCGTCCTGGAATCCCAGCTTCCAGAAGAATCTCTAGGTTCCTTTTCAGAGACTCTGGGCCTCTGTGTCTCAGCCACCCCTGGACTGGGATGTGGGGTGTCCAGTACTGACCCTTCTGAGTCCTGGGGGAGCAATGAGACCGGGGCTCTAACAGGTGTGACCCCAGGATGCACACAGCTCACCTGCTGGACCCCAAGCCAGAGGGCTTCCTTCTTCTCCTCTCAGGTGACTCCTATGGCTCACCCTTTGCGGGGGATGGAGGGGTTTGGGGTGGGGGTAGCTCTTAGCTCTCGGGGGCGGGAGAGATGTGGCCTGGCTGTGTGTGCACCAGATTTGCCCTCCCAGCCCCTGCCGCCTGCCCAGGCTTGGGGCACCCCTACTCTCTCCTTCCATCCCTCTGTCAAAGGACACTCTTGCCCTCTTGTGGCAAAGTCCCCTCTAGTGGACGCTGGGTGGGGTGGAGGGGGGTGTGAGTGGTCAGACTTCACACGGAAGACTTCTGACTCCTGTTGACCAGGGGAGGGAGGAAGTCAGGTTATTTATTTTTTTTTAACAAACTTTTCTTTTTTCTCTTTATTAAAGAGTCATGAACCTCTCCTGGGTCATTCTGGGTAAGGAATGTAATCCAGGGGTTAATCAGCGGAGGCAGGAGCAGGGAGGGCAGAGAGGGAGGAGGGGAGGGAAGAGGACGGAGAGGAGGGGGGGAACTTCCAAGCGTCCAGGTGTCCAATGAAGGGGTTGATTTTCCGTGTCACCCTGACGGGGCTGAGGACACCCTGAGAGCTGGTGCAACAGCCACTTCCGGGTGTGTGTGTGGTGTGCACAGAACACATCAGCCTCTGAACTGGTGGACGGAGTAAGATCACGGTCCCCGAGGTGGGGGGGCCTCACCCAACCCATCGAGGGCCTGGATGGAATGAAAAGGGGGAGCAAACTGTATCTCCCTTGCTGAGCTGGGACGTCCCTGTCGTCCTGCTCCTCTGACCGTGGAGCTCAGGTCTCGGGCCCTTGGACTTGGGCTGACTGACTGCACGGGCTCCCCCGGCCTCCAGCCCGCAGACGGAGGCCCTGGGCCTCAGGCCTCCACCCTGGCGAGCCGATCCGGCAATGCCGACCCCTCACACCGTCGGTAGACGTCCTATTGGTTCCATTTCTCCGGAGAAGCCGGGTCCTGACTTGAACAAATCTGCTGGAGTAAAGGCATCTGGAGCAGCGGGGCCCACGCGCGTGGACGGGGCCCGGGGCGATGTTATAATTAGGGAATGTGGAGGCGCATTAATGACGTGGTGGCTGTGAGAAAACGTCCTACTTCTCAGAGACACAACGGAAATGTTTCAAATGGAACAAGCTGATGTCAATCATTTGCTTCAGCGTAATTTGGGCAACGCAAGACCGACCTGATGCCGATGCAGTGAGCGCGGGGGGAGGGCGCGAGTGCCGAGTCTGGGGGCGCACACAGGCCCACGCTTCATCTCTCTGTTTCCGTGAATGGTTGAAAAATGCTAGAAACTCAGGAATATGTTTCGAGATGGCTTTACTAGGAGACATAAAAGATCAAGAGAGAATCAACCCCTGGTGAAGACGGTTCATCTGGGGGCTTAAGGGCGGGTCCAGAGATCGGAGGGTCCGCGCTGGCGCCTCCTGGAGCAGAACCCACAGTTGGCTGGTGTGTGCTCCGCACGCCCAGGGACAGCGGGCAGGCCACCTGGCTCTAGATACCTCCAGCTAAAACTGGCTGGAACAATAAAGCCACCGAAGAATTCCACGTGAGGAGAAGCCTGGAGACGTGGCGGTTCCAGGATAGGAGCTGCGGCCTGGACCTACCTCTCCATCTTCCCTGGCTGTGCCCCTGGGGGTCCCTTCACTGCTGCAGGGGCTGAGGCCGACCCCCCCCCCCAGGAATGGGAGGTCGCACTTCCTACCAGCAACTACAGAGGCTCCAGCCCCCCGCACAGTCCCCCTGGGGCAGGAGCCCAGGAGTTTCACCCGCTAACAGGGACAGTGCCCGGGGCAGGGAGCTCTAGGAGGGCAGGGCGCTGCTGCTGGGGAGGAACGGGCTCCAGGGAGGGGCAGGGAAGCAAGGGCCCTGGCACCGCAGTGGGGTTCTCCAGGGGACACCCCGGCCACCACCGCAGAGCCCCCCACGGAGGGAGGTGCAGACCTGGGCTGGATCCGGTCAGGGCACAGAGGTGCTCATCTGCTGACCCCAAGTCCCAGAGCCTCAAATTCACCTTCCATCCCGTCCCCTCCAATGTCCGGTGCCCCCCGGACACAGTGGGGGCCACTCTGCCGCCCATGCACTGCGGTCCTCCGCGGTGAGACCCCCACCCTCTCCCAGTAGGGGACACACCTTTGCATCTCGGAAATCATCTGCCCGAGACACCGGGCCTGGCGGGTCTGCAGCGCGGGTGCCACACCTGGACAGCTGTGCTGGCCTGTCAGTCCCGCAGCTTGCCCGCCCGAAGGCCGCGGGCCGCGGAGCAGACGCTGAGACCGGCGCGGCGCCACACCTGGCAAACCCCACCTGGGCCCACGCTCACTCGGCAGGCCCCGCCCCCAGACTGTAGCAGCCCTGACCACGCCCCCAGACCCGCCCCCACCGGCGCGGCCCCGCCCACAGACCAGCCCGCCCCGCCCCTGGCCACGCCCCACAGGCCCGGCCCCGCCCCTCTGAATATGCCCACAAGGCCGGCACCCACCGGGCGTGGCCCCGCCCACAGGCCAGCCCCGCCCCAGCCGTCTGGCCCCGCCCACGGGCCAGCCCCGCCCCAGCCATCTGGCCCCGCCCACCGTCCAGCCCCGCCCAGGGCATCTGGCCCCGCCCACAGGCCTGGCCCCTACCCGCCCCCACCCGGCGCGGCCCGCCAGCGAGGACTTCTCGCCGCTCAGCGCCTTCCGTCCGGGGACGCCCAGCCTCGGAATGACGCAAGACGCATGCGTGGCGTTGCCATGGCTTCAGGGGACGCGCTCGGGGGCGGGCGGACGGGCGCTCCCGGGGCGGAGCGCGGTCGCCGGAAGTGCGTGGCCGCGGGGCCATGGCGGCGCTCGGCGCGGTGCTCTTGCTGCTGCTGGAAGCGGCGTCCTGGCCGCGCGCCGGGGCCTCGGGCGAGGAGTTCTGGCCCGGACAGTCGGCGGCCGACATCCTGGCGGGGGCGGCGTCCCGCAGACGGTAAAGCGCGTCCGCGCCCGGGCGAGGCTCCCGGGGGGACCTGGGGTCGGGGGGGGGAGATCGGCGGGACTAGGGGGGACGGCGGGCCGGGACCTGGGGTCGGGGGGACGGGGGCATGGGGGGGACCTGGGGTCGGGGGGGATGGGGGGACGGGGGGGGGGATCGGCGGGGACTGGGGGGGACGGCGGGCCAGGACCTGGGGTTGGGGGGGACTAGGGGGGGACAGCGGGCCGGGGACCTGGGGTTCGGGGCGGATCGGAGGGGACTAGGGGGGACAGCGGCCCTGGGACCTCAGGTCGGTGGGGAATCGGTGGGGACTGGGGGGGACAGCGGGCTGGGGACCTGGGGATCAGTGAGGACTGGGGGGGTACAGTGGGCCGGGGACCTGGGGTTCGGGGCGGATCGGAGGGGACTAGGGGGGTCAGCACCCCGGGGACCTCGGGTCGGTGGGGACTGGGGGGGACAACGGGCCGGAGGCCTGGGGTTGCTGGGGATCAGCCAGGACTGGCGGGGACAGTGGGCCTGGGGACCTGGGTTGGGGTTGGGGAATCCGCTGGGACGGGGGAGCTGGGGGAGCAGTGGGCCCAGGGACCTGGGGTCGGGGGTTGGTGTGTAGCCCGCGTCACCCGCACCCCTGTACCCCCACCTGCCTCCTGGCCTGCATCCACGGGCTCTATGGCCCTGGGCTGCTGTGGCTGCCATGAGCCCTGGGGTAGGGCAGGGCCAGCTGTGGGTCATCTGGGAGGGGCAACCCCAGGGGCTCCTGTCCCTTGACTGGGGCCTTGTCCCCCCTGCCGGGAGCCCCCAATACATGGTCCTTGGCGAGCTCAGCCTTGGTGACATGCACGGGACCCTTGAGGCTGCTTGCAGGTGGCGGATGTCCCCAGATGGTTTCAGGTGTGACCCCAACCCGTCCTGGGTTCCTGAGGGTTTGGTTCAAGACGCCCCACTGTGTGCTGCGATGTAGGGATGGTGCGGGCCCCTTCCTGCGGGTGTCCGCGCTCTGGGGATGACATCGCAGCTTCCTTCCTCGGGTCTCCAGATGTGGTGGAAGAACCAGTGCAGGGAGGGGGGTGGCCGGGTGGCCGGGGGGCTCTGTCCAGGGAGCCCGGGTCCTAGGAGCGGGGTGGGGGGGTGCGCTTCCCGCTCTCATTCTCACCTGAGGCCGCACAGCACGTTGGCTGCACCAGCGGACCTGGAAATAAGAGGTACAGAAACTCCAAACGCTGCAGTTTTCTATTTTTGTTTAGAAAAGTAAGATTATTTTTCACTTAAGAACATTCAAAATAGCACCACGTGATGGCTCCTCGTTGCCACTTTAAGTGGATTTACACAAGCATTTCAAAGTCCTTATTCTAAGCTCCAACCGGGCATCACGGGTAGACCTCAGTCGCGTGGTTGCCGCTAGTCCGGCGTGTTCCGTAAGTGTCGAGCGCGAAGGGGTCAGGACGCTGAAAGGTTGCTGCCGCCGGGCGCTGGGGGCGGTGGGGTGTGGGGACAGGCTGGTAGCTGCCCCCAGCTCCGGCAGGGCCGAGCCTCGTGCCCCTGTGCTCAGGCACCACTGTCCCCCCCCCCAGGTATCTCCTGTACGACGTCAACCCCCCGGAGGGCTTCAACCTCCGCAGGGATGTCTACATCCGCGTCGCCTCCCTCCTGAAGACGCTGCTGCAGACCGAGGAGTGGGTGCTGGTGCTGCCCCCCTGGGGCCGCCTCTATCACTGGCAGAGCCCCGACATCCACCAAGTCCGGATTCCCTGGTCCGACTTTTTTGACCTTCCGAGTCTCAATAGGAACATCCCGGTGATCGAGTACGAGCAGTTCATTGCAGGTGAGGCAGCGAGCGCGGGTTGTGCGGGAACGGGGGCCCGGCACACCGTGTGCATCGCCCTGGCCGGGGACCCTTCTCCGCGTGGGGGCCCCACTTCTGTCTCCCGCTGCAGCCTCCCAGGTATCTTGCTCCTCCCGTAATTTGGGGAGCTAGGTGTGAAGTGCGTGAGCCGCGTGCGCCCTCACCTCTGAAAGCAGGGGCGGCTGGGACCGGGCAGGGGTGCTCGCAGCAGTGGTGGGGGGCTGGGCCGCTCTCCGTGGGGTGTGCTCCCGTGCAGGGAAGGCCTGTGGCCCCGAGGGAGGGCGCCAGGCCCGGGCGGCGTCTACGGCACGGCGTCTCACCGCAGAGCTGGCGAAGACGTGAAACGGCGCGTCTTATGCGCTCAGGGCTATTTAGTTTTTTTAAAGAGAGAGAAGTTGAAGGTCTTCAAATAAGGGTGTTTGGAGCTTAACATCGCTCTTTAGAAGACATGAGCTTACGAGGCCGCGGTGCCCTTGTGCTGCCCCCCCCAGCCTGCAGGAGGGGCACTGCGTGTGCGCTCCGGCCCGTGAGGACTGTGGGCCCGGGGCTGCAGCTGGCACGTCTTCAGGTTTTTTTCTTTTCTTTTCTTTTTTTTAAGATTTATTTTATTTATTCATGAGAGACACAGAGGCAGAGACCTAGGCAGAGGGAGACCTAGGCAGAGGGAGAAGCAGGCTCCCCACGGGGAGCCCGATGCAGGACTTAATAGGACCCGGGGGTCACGTCCTGAGCCGGCGGCAGATGCTCACCGGAGGCAGTGGCCCCACATCTGCAGTCTCCATGTTGTGCTCTGACTGCGCCCTGGACCCTGTCCCTCTGGGATGTGTCTGCAGGGTCAGTCCCCAGCACGCTGCAGGCACAGGAGGACGTAGTATCTCCCGATACCTTCATTCACGGGGAAGATCGGGCTCAGGCCCGTGAGGACCCGCAGGGATGCATCCGTCTGTGACCCAAGACGAGATGTCGCGGGTGCTTAGTCCGACTTGAGGAATCAGCCTCAGCCTTGGTCTCAATGGGGTCAGGGAGCTGCCAGAGAAGCTGCCCTTCACCTCTGCGGGGCTGGGCCAGCCAGTGGGTTTCTCAACAGGCAGACGCCAGGATCCCACGAGGTGGTGCTTCGTGGGGGACGCTGGGTGTGTGGGGCGGGAGGCTGGTGCCCACCCTGCTGCCCTTGGGGCCACAAGCCTGGAGCCAGAGCAGGGGGGCAGGGAAGGTGGGGTGCCCTGGGACAGGTGCCGCGCCTCGGCCTCTCCGTGTCCCCTCCCTCCCCCTCCCTTCGAGGGAGCCCCTGGAGCTCCGGGGCCAGGCCCCACCAGCAGCGCAGCCCCCGAGCGACGGGGAGTGTCCCCTGGGAAACACACCAGACCTGCACTTGTCGCGGCTCCTTTGTGCCTGATGCATCCTTCCATCCTGAGATGCTTCTCGATCAAGCACGGTGGACGTGGCGGCAGGCCTGGTGGGGCGGGTGCGGTGGGAGCACGGACAGACTCCTGCTGTCCCCGAGCTCCTGCGGAGAGCGGGAGGCAGAAGCCCGTGACGCAAAGAAGTAATTACTACGCGCTGTGTCCCAGATGGCGAGGACCGGCCGGGAGGAAAGGGGGGGTGCCGGGTGTTGGGGCGGGAGGTGCGGTTTGAGTGGCCTCGCAGGGGTCAAGGGTGAGTTCCGGCGAGGCAGGTTAGAGCAGGGAAGGGAGCGTGCTTGGGGCAGCGGGGAGGACGGCGTGTGAGGACCCAGGGCGGGGGCAGGCCCGGCGGCTGCCTCTCGGGACCTCGTGGCCCAGTGTCGCTTGCTCCGCCCCGTGCTGCTCTGTAAGCGTGCCGCGGTCCTGCGGGAGGAAGGTGGCACTGGGCGAGTCGTGACCGTCCCCGTGGCGACAAGACTCGAGCCCACGCTGTCCGTCTTGGCCTCTTGCAGAGTCCGGCGGGCCCTTCATCGACCAGGTTTACGTCCTGCAAAGTTACGCAGAAGGATGGAAAGAGGGGACCTGGGAGGAGAAGATCGACGAGCGGCCCTGCATCGACCCGCTGCTCTACGCCCCGGACAAGCACGAGTACTACAGGTGCGGCGCGGGAGGCCCGGGGGCGCGTCCCCAGCCCGGCGACGGGGCTGGGAGTCCGCCCAGGGGTGTCACCGCACGCGGGTGTGGACGGGCGGGGCCAGACCTGGTGCGTGGGAAGGGCGCTCCGTGGAGGGCCGCCCTGGAGGCGCCCGTGGACCAGGCCGCAGAGTGGTGGGGTTCTGGAAACCCCGACCGCCAGCAGCGTCGGAGGGGCGCAGCCGCTCTGTCCTGGCTCCGGCACCGGCCCGGCTCTGCCCTCGTCCCCCGGGCCCGGTCCAGCCCACTGGTCCCACCAGGTCAGGGGCCACCCGTGCCGTCTCTGCCACTTTCTTACCAGTGTGCGTCCGGGGCTCTTGTCTTCCAGAGGGTGGTTTTGGGGTTATGAAGAAACGAGAGCTTTAAACGTCTCCTGTTTGTCCGTTCAAGGATCGGCTTCCATCATGGCCCCTGTGCTTCTGAGAAACACGTCGGCGCGGTACGTGCCCGCGGGGTCCGCTCGGTGGCTGAGGAGCGTGTGCGTGCGTGTGGGGGCCGGTGCCTGTGCTGTCCTGGCTGGGGCCCGTGTGGGGTCAGGGTAGAGGTCAGCCTCGTCCCCAGCACCCCGGGGCACAGCGAGGCGGGACGGGGACGCGGAGGAGGCGTGTGTCCCTGGGCAGAGCCGGGTCCAGGTGGGCTGTCCCCACGCTCGGGCTCTGTGGGGCGAGTGCAGCTTCACGGGCTGCTTGGCGGGAGGTCCTTGGCGTCCCCCAGTCCCCTGCTGGAGGGCGCGGGGGCCCCGGTTCACCTGGACGGCAGCAGGGCCTGTGTGAGGTGACAGTGTGGCGGGTGGGTCAGGCCCCGACGCAGGCGGGCAGGGAAGTGGGGACGGCTCCGAGCGGGGGGCACGCCGATGTGCTCTTAGTTCACCTGCCCGGGCGACGGCGACGGCAGTGTGGCTGAAGCGGGACGGGGACGGGAATGGCAGGGAGGGGCAGGCCCAGGGGCGTGGAGGTGGCCCCGCAGCCCCCAGCTGGTCCTGGAGGGCTCCCCCCTGCACTCACCTCTGCATGTAGGCCTCATGCTCCGCCTCCCCGGGCCGTACCCCTGCTCAGCACCCCGGGGCCTGCCCGAGCCGTCCCCTCGGGACCTGGGGACAGTGGGCGGCCACGCGCCTTCCCCCAGGGTCCCCGTGTCCTCCCAGCCTGGGTGGGCGCGGCCCCTTCTGGAGCGTCCCCTCCAGGTGCTCTGATGCTTCGGGTGCTGGCCCCGGGAGGCTTAGCTTCAGGGGGGTGTGGCGTGCTCCCCACGGAGGCCGGGCGGGCCACGCCTGCTGCCGAGGCTGTCGGGGGCCGTCTGTGGACGGGATCGAGGCCTCCCCCTGGCGGCTTGCCCTGGGCCGGGTCCTCTGAGGAACCTGTCTTCTGGTCACTGCTGGGCGTCCTGGCCGCGTCCTGGCCGTTTCCTTCCTTGCATCCGTGGTTCCGGGGGGCGTGGTGGCCGCGGGCCAGCGGCGGGGACGGGACAGACGGCCGCTGCCTCCCGACTGCGCCCGGGCGGGGGAGCGGGGGGCCGCCTCACAGCCCAGCGCCTCGTCTCTCGTTTGGAAACAGGTCGGTGATGTTGGACAGAGCCGAGAACCTGCTGCACGACCACTACGGGGGCAGGGAGTACTGGAACGTGAGTGCCGCCGCGTGTGCCCGCGCAGGGGCTGCGGGCGGGGCCTGGGCCGGCGTGGGGCTGGCCTCCGCGGCAACGGCGGGCTCCTTGTCTGTGGCGGCTGACGGTGGAGGGAAAGGCGGTGCTTCGCCGGCGGGAGCCTAGCTTGTGTGCTGTGCCCCCGCCCACGCTGGGTGGCCGGGCCGTAACCACCCTGCGTGCGTCCTGGGGTGAGTGCACGCCGGTGCCGTGGGTCCTGCAGGAGCCCGAGGACGAGGCTGTCACGCCCCCAGGGGCTGCTGGGCTGAGCAGGGGTGAGGCGCCCGTCGGGTGAGCCCCTGCTGCCTGGACATGTGAGCTGGGCTCCCCCATAGCAGAGGCCCCGTCACGACGTTCCCTGCGGCACCGTGTCCCGGCCGGCCGGGCAGTGACAGACCTGCAGCCGCGGCCCCGCGTCCGTGCTCCCCTGCGGGGACAGTCCCAGTAAATCGCCGCTCGCCGGCTGGCTTCGTGCTGCGCGATGACCGGTCACCGCCAGGCTGTCACTTAGCGTCCCCGTTCACCTCGCGCGTGCCAGCGCGTCCGCCTGTCCCCTGGGCCTCCGCAGCCTCGGGCCGCCCGCTCAGCAGCTGCCCTCTGCACCCGCAGACCCGGCGGAGCATGGTGTTTGCCAGGCACCTGCGGGCCGTGGGCGACGAGTTCAGGAGCCGGTATCTGAACTCCACGGACGAGGCCGACCGGATCCCCTTCCAGGAGGACTGGACCAAGATGAAGGTAGCCGAGTCGCCAGGCCCGTAACGGGGTCGGCGTGTCGGGGGCCTGGGGCGGCCGCGGTCACCCACCGGGAGTGTCCCCTCCAGGCTCGGGGGTCGGGGGTTCCAGCGGCAGGTGTGGGAGCTGCGGGCGAGGTAAGCACCGGCACCCCGGCACCAGCAGCGCCAGGGCCCTCAGCGCTCCCCGTCCTCCCCCAGGTCCCCCTGGGCTCCTCGCTGGGGGGCCCGTACCTCGCAGTTCACCTGAGGAGGAAGGACTTCATCTGGGGCCACAGAGAGGACGTGCCCAGTCTGGACGGGGCCGTGAGGAAGATCCGCAGCCTCATGAAGACCCACCGGCTGGACAAGGTGTTCGTGGCCACCGACGCCGTCAGGACGGGTAGGCCGGCCCGGCTCTGCCCCACGGGCTCACCCCGTCCCCTGGCCCCCGTCCCCTGACCCCGTCTGCCGCCCCCATCCACTGCCCTGTCGTGTCCTGGGCCTGCAGCGTGGCCGGGAGGCGGTGCCGGGCCCTATGTGGCCGCCCCTGACCTGTGGCGCCGGTGCCCGTGGAGCCAGCGTGGTGCAGCACACGTGTCCCATGCACGGTCCTGGGGTGCTCGCCGGTGACCCCGGGTCAGTGGCTCCGCTTCGCTTCGCAGAACATGAGGAGCTGAAGAAGCTGTTGCCGGAGATGCTGAGGTTCGAGCCCACGTGGGAGGAGCTGGAGCTCTACAGAGACGGCGGCGTGGCCATCATCGACCAGTGGATCTGCTCGCACGCCAGGTGCCTCCACCGCCCGGCCCGGCCCCTGTCCCCTGACTCCGTGACCCCCCATCCCCGTCCCCCAATCTCCCAGTCCTCTGTCCCCCCGTACCCCATCTCCCATCCCCACATCTCCCCATCCATCCCGTCCCTGTCCCCCTTCCCCCATCTCCTGTCCTCCCATCTCCCAGTCCCCCATCCCCCCATCCCTGTCCTCCCCTCCTCGTCCGCCATCCCTGTGTACCTGTCTTCCGTCCCTGTCCCCCTGTTCCCCATCCCCCTGTCCCCATCCTGTCCCCGTCCCCCATCCTCCAACCCCGTCCCCCGTCTCCATGTCCCCCCATCTCCCTGTCCCCCAGTCCCCCATCCCTCTTGTCCTCATCCTCATCCCCCTGTCCTCGGTCCCCCGTTCCCCCATCCCCATCTCCCCGTCCCCCTGTCCCCCCCATCCCCGTCTCCCCATCCCCCATCCCCGTTCCTTCTTCACCCATCCCCATCTCTCTGTCCCCGTCCTCATCCTCCCATCCCCCATCCCCATCCCCCCAATCCCGTGTCCTTGTCCCCCCACCTCCTGTCCCCCATCCCCCATCCCCGTCTCCACATCCCCCCTCCTCTATCCCCATCCCCCATCCCCTGTCCCTCCATCCCCATCCCCCATCCCCCCATCCTCCTGTCCTTCTCCCCTGTGTCCCTGTCCTGTTCTCCATCTCCATGTCCCCCCATCCACCCGTCCCCTATCTCCCGTCCCCCTGCCCGTCCTCGGCTCCGCTGTTTCCATCGGCCCCTGGGAGGTCAGTCCGTGTCGTCCCCGAGGCGAGTGTCGGCTCATAGTCGGCCCCTGACCTGCAGGCTTGCTCCTAGTCCCCCCTCAGACTTGGTCACAGGCCCCCTTGCCCACCTTGTCGGGGGACAGACCCCACCCGAGGTCCCGGGGCCCAGTGACAGGCCCCATCACATGTGTCCCTGCAGAACACGTCCAGGGCCTCCTGCAAGTCCAGGAGTGCGGCTCTCTGCGTCGTCCTCAGAGGAGGCTGTTGCCGCGGAGGGGAGCGGGGGCCAGGGCCAGGGAGGTCAGCGCGCTTCCCGTGGGGTGGAGGCTGCGAGTAGGCTGGGCAGGGTCCCCGTGTCTGCAGGACCCCGGGGCCTGTGCGCAGGCTGCGGGCCGCAGGGTCAGAGGTCGGCCGGGTCGGGCGCTGGGCACGTGCAGGCAGCCCCCGTGACCCCCGGTTTGCCGGCAGGTTCTTCATCGGTACCTCCGTGTCCACATTTTCTTTCCGGATCCACGAGGAGCGAGAGATCCTTGGGCTCGACCCCCGGACGACGTACAACCGCTTCTGCGGGGACCGGGAGGAAGTGTGCGAGCAGCCCACGCACTGGAGGGTGGCCTACTGAGCCGGCCGGCCCCTCGTGGGCGCCACGTCCCGGTCTCCCTCCGAGCACCTGTGTGGCCTCGGGGTCGCTCCTGCCCGGCCGTGGCCAGGCGGCCACAGCACGCGCCCATCCCGGGGTTCGCACCGCCGTGGCTGCCCGGGGTCCTGGTGCGCGGCACGTTGGGTGTCAGAGGGTGTCTGCTGCCTGCAAGGCCGCGGTGACATGAGGGGTGCGGGCTCTGTCGCAGGGGCGCCGTGGTGCGGGCCCGTCTGTGGTCCTGCCGGGGCGTCCGGTGCTGCCCCGTTCGCCCTCCCGTGACCCGTGCGAGGCCCAGCACGTTGGCGGGAAGGTGGCCCCCGCCCTGCGGACGCCGGGCTGACCCCGTGGGGCTCAGTGTGCAGGAGGTTCCCTGGGTCTTCGGGGGGTTTGGCTCGCGGAGAGGAGCTCCCGCTGGCGGCGGCGGTGCGGGTGGGCGGGCACCCCGGGCCCTGCCCCTCGGGGGGCGCCGGGCCGAGGGGGCACGGGGCTGAGGGGCGCGGCATGCAGCCTCGGAGGGGCCGAGGGGCGCGCTGCCCAGAAAGCCCTCGTGGGCCTGGAGCGCGGACCACCCGCCCTCGGACCCACGCCCGGCTTCACGGGCGCCCCAGGTGACCCGAAGCCCGGGGCGGCTTGTGTCTTCCCGAGTGTGGAGCCCACGCGGATCGCGCGCTGCGGTCCTGGGGGGAGTGAGGTATTTATTCTGTGCCCATTTGTACTTTGAAACACTAATAAAATACGTTTTCTAAGAAACCAGAATTCTAGAAACGTGGGCACCTTTTTCACACCCTTGAGTTTCTTTCTGGCTGGAAATCCCCGAGTGGTCCCGACGGGCCGCTGGTCGCTCCTGGGGACGGCGCCGTGTCCCATCCACCCGCGGCGCCCACGGCTGCCCGACTTGCTTCGGCAAGAGCTCGGCCTGGGAGAGCCGCCGTCCCGGTGCTCTGGGGAGGGACCGGCCCGCGCCACCCCCTCCGCGTCCACGTTAGCGGGTGGTGGGGGCTGGGGGCCCAGGCACCCAGGCCGCGGCATCTCTTCCCTCCGGCAAGGGAGACCCGGGGACCCGCCCGCTCCTGCACCCCCCCCCCGCCTGCCCCCCACCCCGCCCTCCTCCCGCTCTCCATGTGGTTTGAACCAGACTGTGCCCTTGACCAGGACGGTGTGCACCCTCGGGGGTGGGGGGGACCCAGAGCACACCCAGCTCACCGGCGGTCCCTGAGGGCCGGGGGGGCTGGGGAACCAGTGCCGCCCCCTGTGCTGTGCGGGGGCCGGGCACCCCGGCGGGCAGGGCACCTGAGGGGGCTGGCGTGGCCTCTGACCGCGGCCTGGAGAAGCTTCCAGGGGGCTGGGGCCACCAGCCGCTCCAAGGCCCAGGGCCAGGCAGGGAGCGAGAGCAGGGGGCCGGGTCCCCTGGTGACCCCAGCTCCTGACCAGCACCCGCTGACCGCCAGGCGGCCCGGCCCGTCACACCCATCCCTGCACCCCCAGCAGGACAGGCGGGCCATGGTCAGTGTTGCCGTGGACTATGTCTAAAGGCTGTCACCTCCCCCTTCACAGAGGGGGAAACCGAGGCACTCAGGGCAAAACACGTGGCCGAGGCGACTGCGCGGGAGCCTTAGGGGACCCGGGTCTCTGCGAGGTCTCTGCAGTATGGGTCCCGCCTCAGGGGGTGGGGGTGATGGCACCTGGACTCCATGTGTCCCCCCGAGCCGACGCTCCTGAGGGGCCTCGGGGCCCCGGGCTCCACACAGCGGGGCAGCGGCCGTCGGGGGCCCCATCCCAGCCGCCACTCGCTGTGTCCCCCTCGCGGCTCGGCCCAGGGGCACCGGGTCCCCTCGGGCGCAGGGTCACGCACCAGTTTCCTGGTGACTAACCTGCTTAGAGGACGTCCTGGACCCCCTTCCCCCAGGGCTGGGCCGGACGTCGGTTTGGGATGGGTGTCTGCTCCCACCTGTAAAGCAGGTGCACAGAGCCCCCACGGGTGCTGTCCTGCCCACACCTGTCCACACTGGCCCACACCTGTCCACACCTGCAACACCTGCCACACCTGGCCACACCTACCCGTGCCTGCGACACCTGCCACACTGACCACGCCTGCCCACTCCTGCCCACACCTGTCCACGCCTGCCCATACCTGTCCACGCCTGCCTGTGCCTGCATCTGCCTGCACCTGCCCATGCCTGCGACACCTGCCCACGCCTGCCCACACCTGCCTGCACCTGCGACACCTGCCTGCACCTGCCCACGCCTGCCCACACCTGCCCACACCTGCCCACACCTGCCCGTGCCTGCGACACCTGCCACACTGACCATGCCTGCCCACTCCTGCCCACACCTGTCCACGTCTGCCTGTGCCTGCAACACCTGCCTGCACCTGCCCATGCCTGCGACACCTGCCCACACCTGCCCACGCCTGCCCACACCTGTCTGCACCTGCGACACCTGTCTGTACCTGCCCACGCCTGCCCACACCTGTCCACGCCTGCTGCACCTGTGACACCTACCTGCACCTGCCCACACCTGCCCATGCCTGCCCATACCTGCCTGTGCCTGCGACACCTGCCCACACCTGCCCACACCTGTCCACGCCTGCCTGCGCCTGCAACACCTGCCCACACCTGCTCACGCCTGCCCACAGGCCAGCCCCAGCCCTGCAGAGGGGAGGCCCCACCGGCACGCAGACTGGCCCCTGCCCCCCGGCCCCTGTCAGGGTCCTCACTGCCCGACCGTGTCCCGACCACTTACCCAGAGCCTGGCTCATCTTGACCCCACGAAGCGCCGGCTCAGCCCGGACGTCGGACGGGGCGCTCACTGGCGCTCTGGGCAGGACGCCATCCCGGGGGCCCACCGCCCAGGGGACACGCCGTGGGCCCGGCCTCGGTCCCGGTGGGTCCTCTCCCCGCTGGGACGGCCGAGGTGTTGACCAGCCCGACGGTTCTGAGCCCACGGCCCGGCGAGGTCCCCCGGGGCAGCCCCTCCCTCCAGAACAAACCCACCCGTGGGCTCCCGCAGGATCTGCCCGCCCTGCCCAAGCCCCTGGGAGGAGGGCACGTCCGCCTGCACTTGGGAGCCGGTCTGTAGCTCGGGGCAGATAATACCCGGAACGACCCCCGGGGCGGTTCTAGGACAGCCGGCAGCCCCGGACCCTGCATGTCCCGAGGTCTCGGGGGCCGCGGCCCGAGCTCCTGCGCTCAGGGGCCGGGGGGCAGGGCCCAGCTGTGCGCAGCGAGGACACTGGCGCAGGAACAGCTGGTGACGCCGGGTCCCTTCGCTTCCTATTTCTGCTGGCGTGAGTGCCCCTCCCTCCGTCCCTCCCGGTCCCTCGGTCCTGCGTCCGTCTGTCCCTCCCCGTCCTTCCCTCCCTCCCCTGCTCTCCCAGGAACCCCCCCCCACTGCCGCCCCTGAGCTGCCCCTGCAGAGGCACAGGGGACGGGGAATGGCGACAGGGCTTCCTGCCGACGAGGAGTCGAAGCCCACCAACGTCCACGGAGACCCCAGAATCAGATCCAGCTCAGGGGGGCCCTCGAGATGGCAGCGCCGGCCCGGCTGACGCCCTGCTGGCAGACCCTGGCACCCAGGTCCTCGGATCCCGGGAGCGGGGACGACCGTGCCCCCCAGGTTGGGGTGATTTGCTGCGCTGTGGGCGGCAGGCGACACAGGTGCTCGCACACGACGCAGGAACACGGACGATATCTGAACAAAAGCACGGGCGTCCAGGTGACGCCCCCCCCCCCCGGGGTTCAGACCCTCGGGCACACGGCCCGGGCGGCCTGGGCTGGTCCTGGAGCTGAGCCGCGTGACCCGGGGCCCGGGTCCTGAGCCGAGCGACTGTGCCCAGAAAACACGAAGCCAGTTAGGATTCAGGCTCACTGGTTTGACCCGGGGACGAACCGCCTTCTGGTCATGGTGACCGTGGTGACCGTGGTGGCCCATTCTGGGGGGCAGCGTCTTGCGCCCTGAGGCCCAGAACATTCCTGGCTCCCCAGAGGCCCTGCTGCCCCTCATGGCCTCAGGGACACTCGGCCCGCCTGGTGGTGCTGCACCCGTCCTCAGGGGTCCCCAGACCCTGGCTCCTGGGGCCCGAGGGGCGATCAGGACCCCCCACGGGGAGCAGAACTTGCGGGAAGGGGTGCAGATGGGAAGCAGGGCCACAGCCCAGGGGAGGCTGGGCGGGAGGCATCTGTCTCCGGAGCCTGCGTGGGGGTCCCCGGGCGGGGGCCTGGCTGGAGCCGGACGCGCGGACTCAGTGGCCCGGAGCTAACGTTGCGGCGACTCGGGGGTGACTCGTTCCCTGGGCTCCGGGGGCCAGCTGTTCCCGCCGTCCCCGGGCCCCGGCGGCCACATTAGTGACTAATGAGGGCTGGTGCCACAAACCCAATCTCTTGTTTCTATTAAAAGGCCCTTTCAGGACAAACTAGGGCAGCGTCGCATCCTCCGGGCCGTCTCCTCCCGGCGGGGCCACGGGCTGCCTCGGGCAGCTGAGCGCCTTGGGGACGAGCCCACGGGGGCTGAGATGTCATCTGGGCTTGTCCCTGAACAAGCAAGACAAACAACAGGCTCTGCGCCCCTGGCCCTGCCCGCCTCCCGGCGGGGACACGGGACCCCCACGGCCTGTGTGTACGGCGGCCGCAGGGCAGGTGCCCCCCGACAGCGGCTCCCCCCGGCGAGCGCCCCCCACGGTGTAGCCAACCCTCCGGGGCTGCTCCGGGGCCTCACCCACGCAGGCCCCATCGGCCTCCCGGGGCGCCAGGCCAGGAAGCAGGCCTGCAGGTGGCCCCAGCGACGGCGACAGGAGCTCCGCAGGGAGGCAGCAGCTTGGCCGAAGGAGGCCGCGGGGCAGGGGCGGGCGGTCCGGGTGGGCAGGACGAGAGAGACGGGGAGGAGAGGCGGGCGCCGCGCTGGGCGGGGACACGGGGAGCCTGGGCGCCAGAGGGCCTTGCTGCCGCTCGGGGCGCGGGGCGCAGGGCCTCGCAGGGACGTGGCGGCCGTGGTGTGGGGGGCAGCGCCCCCCCGGGGCTGAGGCCTGAAAATGCCCAACAAGCAGCTTCGGAAGCTGTGTTTGCGGGCGAGGCGCAGCGGGAGGTGAGGGCACCTCGCAAAGCTCGGGCGCCCCGCGTGCGCGGCCTCTGAGCCCCACGGACCCCGCCCGGCTGCCGTGAACTGCAGGCAAGTGGCAAGGAGCCGTGTGGGGCCCACGGGGGCAGGACCGCAGAACGGGGTCCCGTGTTGAGCCCGGAGCCCCGGGAGGAGTGCGCCGGGGAGACCCGCGGGGCACGGACAGCGGCAGGGGGTCGGCCCCCCGCACCCGCACCCGCACCCGGCTGAGCAGCAAACACTGGAGGCCCCGTCATTTCAACCACAAGCCATCGGCTTAGAATGTGAAGCGCGTGGGTGTGGGTGCACACAGGGTCACACACACGCGCTCACACACGCTCATGCTCAGCCACACATGCTCACACACGCACACACATGCACATGCACACACGCTCGCACAGGCAAACACGCTCACACACGCACACGCTCACACACATGCTCATGCACTCACACATGCACACATGTTCACACGCGCGCACACGCACACACTCACACGCACACGCACTGGCTCCCCAGGGGCTGCCCGGGGTCCACCTCCACGGTCCCCGCGTGCATGAACGTGGCTCACGGGCGCCTGGGGAGCAGCGCAGCGGGCGCCAGGGGGGACCCCGAGGGATGCGGTTCACGGAAGCGAAGGAGAGCCTCCCAGGGGACAGGAGCCTCCC